ATTTAATGTGCACTATTTCTGGCAGTCTGCAAAGGCCCTTATTTATTGAGGAGGGAGCAAGCTTGTTTTCTGCTGCTCCAGACAACAGGAATGGGAACAATGGATGCAAGCTCCAAGAAAAGAGATTCCAGCTCAACATTAGGAGGAACGCCCTGACAGTTTCAGCTCACCCCCAGTGGACCACACTCCCTCCTTCTTGGGAAACCATGCTTGAAGAGGAGAGACTTAGGGAGATGGATATATTTAACCTGGAGAAGAGGGTGTTATGAGGTGATATGATAGCCCTGTTTAAATATTTGCAGAAATGTCATATTGAGGATGGAGCAAGCTTGTTTCCTGCTGCTCCAGAGAATAGGACCCAGAGCAATGGATTCAAAATACAGGAAAAGAGATTCCGCCTCAACATTAGGAGGCATTTCCTGACAATAAGGGCTGTTCGACAGTGGGACACTGTCCCTTGGAAATTAGCTGGAGTCTCCTTCTTTGGAGGACTTTAAATAGAAGCTGGATGGCCATCTGTTGGGGATGCTTTGATTGTGAGTTCCTGCATGGCAGGGAGTTGGACTGGATGGATGGCCCTTGTGGTCTCTTCCAACTCTGTGATTCTATCCAGCCTCTGTTTAAAGACCTCCAAAGAAGGAGACTCCACCACTCTCCAGGGCAGTATATTGCACTGTCAAACAGCTCTTACCATCAGCAAGTTCTTCCTAATGTTGAGATGGGATCTCTTTTCTTCTATTTTGAATCCATTGCCCCTGTGTCCTTTTCTCTGGAGCAGCAGGGAAAAAGCTTGCTCTCCATCCTCAATATGCTATCCCTTCAAATACTTAAACAGGGCGATCATCTTCCTTGATGGGTTTGGGGGGAGAGGATGAAGGGAGAAATTAGCTAATTTCCCAGTCCTTTCTCCCATTCCCAGTCTTGTGGGTCAGTCCCAGGCAGACTGTCTGGACAAGATGAGCAGATGTCCCCATCACCGCCAAGGTTGTTGTTGTTGTATGCCTTCAAGTCGTTTCTGAGGTTAACACCCTAAGATGAACCTATCCTTAGGTTTTCTTGGCAAGGTTTCTTCAGAGGGGTTTTCGTCATTCTCTTGAGGCTGAGAGAGTGTGACTTGCCCAAGGTCCCCCATTGGGTTTCCATGGCCGAGCTGGGAATTGAACCCTGGTCTCCAGAGTCACAGTCCAACGCTGAAACCACTACACCATGCCAGCTCTCTGAAAGTATGTATAAATACACACACACACACACACACACACACACAATCTTATCTATCTATAAAGCATATGTGTTGCTGTTGTTGTGTGCCTTCAAGTCGTTTCTGACTTATGACGACCCAGTCTTGGGGTTTTCTTGGCAAGATTTGTTCAGAAGAGGTTTAGCCATGGCCTTCCTTTGAGGCTGAGAGTGTGTGACTTGCCCAAGGTCCCTCAGTGGATTTCCATGGCTGAGCAGGGAACCGAACCCTGGTCTCCAGAGTCATAGTCCAACACTCAAACCACTACACCATTCTGGCTCTCTAAAAATTTGTATAAATACACACATACAAACCAAAAGCATCTGAGGAAGTAGACTGAGGTCTACGAAAGCTCATGCTGCCAACTTCTTTCGTTCAGTTAGTCTCAAAGGTGCTACAAGATCTCTCTCCATACTGATTCTACAGACTAACACAGCTATATCTTTGAATTCTAACACATACACACTATCTATTTATAATCTCTGTGTGTATTGCTGTTGTTGTATGCCTTCAAGTCATTTCTGGGGTTGTCTTGGCAAGATTGGTTCAGAGGAGGTCTTGGCAAGATTGGTTCAGAGGAGGTCTTGCCATGGCCTTCCCTCAAGGCTGAGAGAGTGTGACTTGCCCAGGATCCCCAGTGGATTTCCATGGCTGAGCAGGGAATCAAACCCTGGTCTCCAGAGTCATAGCCCAACACTCAAACCACTACACCATGCTGGTTCTGGCTTCTAATAGTTACTCATGCACTTTTTTTTAATTGAAACAGGTATCAAAGAAAACAAAATAATAATAATAATAATAATAATGACCACGGACAACAATTCATCCTAGATAAGGAGGAAACCGAAACCCTCAAAGAGTTCCCATTTATTGTTGTGTGCCCTCAAGTCATTTCCATGGGGTTTTCTTGGCATGATCTGATCAGATTTTGTTGCCACTGCCTTCCCCTGAGGCTGAGAGCATGTGACTTGCCCAAGGTCAACTAGTGGGTTTCATGGCCGAGTGGGAGTTGAACACTGGCATACTCAAATGCAAAAAATCCTTCTGCTCCCACCAGTTAAAAGGTGAAGGGCTGCTAAAATAAAATAAAATAAAATAAGAAAACAGTGAGGGGGCCAATTGAGCCTCCCTTAGGAGGGATTTCCATAGCCCAGGGACAACCATTGAGAAGTTTTTCTCCCATCTCCTCACCAGACAAACCTGTGAGGAAGGTAGAACTGAGAGAAATCCCCCAACCAAATTACAAAATTCAGGTTGGCTTCTATGCAGAGATAAGGACTTCCAGATAGAATTGTAAGCAGTTGAACTGGTCTATCCAAAAAAAAAAAAAAAAAAAAAAGGTGGGGGGGAGGGAAAAAATAAATTAAATGATCCTTTTGCGTTTTAAGTTTTTTTTAGGGGACAAATTAGGATAAAGCATCTTTGCAGCATTATAGAAATCATGCTCTAAGACAGGGCTTTATTTAACAGGCCGGTTCAAAATGGCCTCAAAGCCTATCATCAAAAATAAGTTAAATGCAGGTCCATCAAGAACTCAGAATATTTTCCTTTCCTTTCCTTTTCTCTCTCTCTCTCTCTCTCTCTGTCTCTCTCTCTCTTTTTTGAACTGTAACTCCCAGAATCCCCCATGCTACCTGGGGGATTCTGGGTGGGAAATGAGACTATTGAATGAATACTGCTGGTAGAGGCACATTACTTTGCCTGCATCCACACTGCAGAAATAATCCAGTTCTAGACCGCTTTAACTGCCATGGCTCAGTGCTACAGAATTTTGGGAACTGTATTTTTGGGAGACTTTTAGCCTTCTTGGTCTGGGAGCTCTGGTGTTAAAACAAACTAAAGTTCCCAGAATTCCATAGCATTGTGTCATGGCAGTTAAAGCGGTGTCAAACTGGATTATTTCTTTAGTTCGAATGCAGCTTAAAATGTCTTACTTCCTGGGAATTTGTAGGAGATGCAGTCTAATAAAGTAACTATTTTTTACAGTTACTTTGCTGCAAGACTCCAGGGACAAACATCTACCAGGAATCTTATGCCCACTGGCACAACGTAATGTGTAAGGGCACTACACAGGATAGATGGAGGGCAGCACGGATGAACCCCCGAAAACCATGTGCTGTTGTTTGTTTGTTTCAGTTTGTCACATCTTGCAAATACATTATGTTTTTTTCAAAAGAGTTTGAAAATACATGAATAAAGCTACATAAAGATAGAAATAGCATATATATATATATATATATGGAAATAAAATGTAGCACATAAAAGGAGCATTTGACATTCAATTTAAGAATAAAACACCTTTTTTTAACAGACTGGAAAATGAAATGGTTTTGTCTGATGCACAGGCACCAAACAAGGTTTCCTGTCAATGTTGGTCTGAGACAGTTTGCTGCCTGAAGCAGAACCCAAATGACACATGCATACAACTCAATCCCCATCAAACATAAGGCCATAAGTTATTACTCACCTCCATAAGTCAGTCAGTGTAGGAACCTGGAGAAGAACTTAAGAAGATGGCCTCAGTGAAGGAGTGGATTCTAATGGAAGAATGTCTTCTGGGTACCAAGGCACAATGGACATGAAAGTTCCAAACCAACATCTTAAATTGGGCCATGAATTGTATTGGGAGCCACTGGTTAAGATGCTGGTTTTGAATTTCCATGGCCATTATGGCTTGGTCCTAATCACTCCATGGCCCAACTCAATATGCTGGTTTTGAATTTCCATGGTCATTGTGGATTGGTCCCAGTCCACTCCATGGCCCAATTCAATATGCTGATTCTGGATTTTCATGGCCATTGTGGCTTGATCCCAATCCACTCCACGGTCCAACTCAATATACTAGTTTTGAACTTCCATGGCTATTGTGGCTTGGTCCCAGTTGACTCCATGGCCCAATTCAATGTGTTGGTTTTGGACTTTATGGCCATTGTGGCTTGGTCCCAATCTACTCCATGGCCCATTTCAATATGCTGGTTTTGAACTTTAATGGCCATTGTGGCTTTGTATCAATCCACTTCCTGGCCCAATTCAATATGCTGGTTTTGGACTTTCATAGCCATTGTGAGTTGGTCCCAATCCACTCCATGGCACAATTAGTGAAGGCTACTGCAACAGTAACCATTTGGCAGGTTCCTTAGGTGGATGATGCTGGTGTGGTAGCTCCTCGCCATTCCTTATGTGTCTCCAAACCTGTCTTTTCTTTTGGGAGATGGACCCTCATGTACCAAACAGCCAGTCAGATGAACGCTCAGTGGCAGAGTTCATCTGGTAGAGAAATGAGGTGTTGGACTAAAATACAACTGCCTGTCCAGTTTGTCTGTGGATGTATAATGGGCTGGGAATGGGTGGTAGGATTATCTTCTCCGTGAGGGTTTTTCCCCCTTACTTTTTCCTTCCTTAGGCCTCTCTGAAGTCCTTGACACACAGGAATGTAACAAATGCAACAGCACTGGGGGAAAACTGCACCTGTTCCTTCCTTCTGTCATGCAAAATTTAACAGAGGTGCAGGGCCTCTGCAAGAAGAAAAATGGGTGCTGCACTCCCACATTTTTATATTTTAAATTCCTTTACGCTATATTAGTTCTGTGTTTGGTTTTAATAGGACAACTTCTTTGTTTTAATATGGTTTATTTGATGAACTTATTTGGTTGTTAGTATTCTAAGTGGTTTCAGCCATACTCGTATTTTCATGGATGTTGTAAGACGCTTTTGGGTTCTTGACTGGAAGAAAAGTAAGTAAATACATAAATGGTTGCTAAATCTAAATTTATCTGTAATTCACTACTGAGAATACTTTTCCTAAACTTATCCAACCTTCAGTCAACATAAATATGCTTTTTAAAATGAACATCACAGATTTTTTTAAATTTTATTTTTATTTTATTTTTATTTTATTTTTTGTATTCAGATAAGAAAAACCGAAGGTACTTTTTGGCACTAATGCCAAGACTAGAGCTGCATCAGCATCTATCCCATGCCTTAATCATTCCAGTAATTATACAATGAAGTCAAAACTATAGCAGTAATTAAATAAATGTTGTATGTCTTAGATTCATTTCAGGTAAAATACCCATTGGTACTACCAAATTAATAGATAATAATAAGTTCTCAGTTACATTTTTCATGTCATTTTTAAAATATAAAATCATTAACCATATGTTAAACTAAATTGCGGCTAGATCTAATGAATGCTGTCATAAATTTTGGCATTTGTGTTCATCATGCTAGAAGTATGGTACTGGGGGAAAAAACCTTCTCTCTCTTCAAATACCATATCATTTCATGATTATCAGACCCTCTGCTTCTACATTCTCTTTTTAATGTTAGTTAAGATAAATGAAAAATATTGTTAAGCTCATCAGGGCTCATGTCCTTGATTTCATTATTTTATGTGTGAGTTGTTATCAGATAAAATAATCAGGCTCTGAATAAGGCACACTAGCATGATAACTTAATAAACATAGTAATGTAAGAAAGGTGTACAGGATCAGAGTGAGGTTCTGTCTAGTAATCCATCATTCTGCTCCAATGGGAAGTGTCCAACAGTACACTGATCCTGGAATATATAGGCATCGTGACTGATATTTAACAGATATTTACATTTTTCCAGATTTTGTGAAACAATTTTCCATTGATAATCTTATCTTCCATGATACAACAAGCATGGAAAGGAGATAAGTATGAAATGTAGTGACTTTATCTTTTCAAAGTGGTAGCCATCTGAAGTCTGCTGATGTGAAATAGATATATTACAGAATAAGATTTTGTGAATATTCCCCTGGACTTTGTGCCAACATAAATGCTGTGGAATTCAATATTAAATGCTATAATACATCTCTTGGACATAAAGGTGACATAGAAGTCTTTGTTATATGGGCTTTATCTTGTCTTTCTGTTCTGGGAAATTTAAAATGACCATTATAGGCACCAGATTTGGCATAAATATTCTATAGGCACCAAATCCTGTCTGATCTTGAAATCTCAGCAGGGTCAGCCCTGGTTAATACTTGAAGGGAAAACTGCCAATGAATACCAGGTGCTGTAAGGAAGGAACTGGCAAAACCGCCTCTGAGTATTACTATGAACCCAAATAAATTAATGGGGGTCACTATAAGTCAACAGGTGACTTGAAGGTACATACACATACAGAGAGGCACCAACTCTCAGAGGCAATGGCTATTACTGTATTTTGCTTGCTTTCATTTCTGAGGAAATTAAATTTAAATTCACTTGGCACCATAACCATTGTCCTTTGTTCTCTGCAGTTTCCTAATATACATTCAGAACCAGATTACAGCCATTCGTTTTTTTGCATTGAGTCTACCTAAGGTCAAGATTACCAATAAAAATATTTATGTTCTCGGAAAGGTCAAAATTCTATACCGGTGGAATATAAGGGTTCATACTGAGAAGACATACATAACAAAAGAGTAATGCTTTGTATTTTCCCAACCAGAGCTTGGAAACATTTAAAAATACCATTGTCCCATCCCTATTACATGTACATGTTAAGTTGTATAATACGGGTTGAGTCTCCCTTATCTGAAATTTGGTAATCAAAAATATTCCAAAATCCCAAATTATCCACATAGGTGACTAAGATAGTGACACCTGTCCTTTCTGGTAGTTGAGTGTGCACAAACTATGTTTCATGCACACAATTATTAAAAATATTGTGTATAAAATTATCTTAAGACAGTACATATAAGGTGTATACAAAACATAAATGAATTTAATGTTCAAATTTGAGTCCTATCTCCAAGATATCTCATTACATATATGCAAATATTCCAAAATCCCCAAAACTCCAAAATCCAAAGCACTTCTAGTCCCAAGCATTTTGGATAAGGGAGACTCAACCTAATCTTAGCCCTTCAATGCAGCAAAATAACTATCTTAGGGGGGTTGCAGACTGCCAGAAATAGTGCAGATTGAGTCCACTTTTAGGGTTAGGGTTAGGGTTAGGGAATCATGGGAACTATATTTTCTTGTGGTACCAGAGCTCTCTGACAGAGAAGGCTCAATGTCTCAGAAAAAAAACAATTCCCATGACTCCCTAGCACTAACCCTAACCCTAAAAGTGGATTCAATTTGCACTATTTCTGGCAGTCTGCAACCCCCCATAATCTCTACTTTTCTATTTGTAGAGGTAGTATTAAAGTAAATAGGTAGCACGGTCCACCTTAGAACTCAGCAATGAACATAACATTATTTTGAACGTTTCTATTGATGAAGTCCATAGCTGTCACTGGGAGGTTTGCAAATGCTCTCCATCACAGGTTATTCAACAGAATATCAAGTTGACTCTTTTTCCCCATGTATAATTTTGTATCATGTATAATGTGGCTAGGCTAACAAAAAAGACAGGCTGACTGCATGGTGCCACTATGCTGGTAACAGCAGTGCCAGCACTTATGTGATATACTCACGGCACAAAACAGTTAAATCATGAGCTTAAGAATAACATTGGGAACAAGGCCTAACATAGGGACTTTCATAGTGACAGCTGCTCCCACTGTGCCTTTGGCAACTCTACTAACACCCAGCAATCACAATCCGTGCCAGCTCAAGATTTGGGAGGTGTGGGTAGCTTGAGTGAGATCTTGACAGGGTCTACTTTTTTCTTGGCATGGTCACAGATGCTCATTTGCTTGCCCTCTGCTTGTGGCCCAGCCTTCATGATTGCTAAGAGGAAAAATGCAGTGCTAGTAGAAGGTGCTGCTTTATTTTAGCTTTGCATTATTGAAGTATATAGATGAACATGTCTGGGAAGCTCCAAGGATCAGCAGAACCCCCCCCCCCATGGGGTGTAGGCCTTGGCTGATGCCCACAAATGCCAGTCCCTGATACAAGCCCTGAACAAAGCCTTTTCTGCAGGTTCAAAATGCTACAGCTAGAATGCTGGTTGGGGCTGGTTAGATCCTATAAGAAGCATCTACCTCCCTTGGTGAAACAGCTTCACTAGCTGTCCATTTCTGGGCATACTTCAAAGTGTTGGTTTTAATGTATTAATCCCTATATGACTTGTTGTTTTTGTTGTTATGTGCCTTCAGGTCATTTTCGACTTATGGTGACCCTAAGGCAAACCTATCATTTGTTCAGAGATTTGTTCAGAGGGGGTTTGTCATTGCCATCCTCTAAGGCTTGGAGAGTGTGACTTGCTCAAGCAGGTTTACATGGTTAAGCTGGGATTTGAACCCTGGTCTCAAAAGTCACAGTCCAATGTGCAAACCACTGCACCACACTGGCTCAGGTCCAGATTATCTGAAAGCCCATCTCTCTCCATATAATTCTGCTCAAATCTTATGATCTTCATGGGAGGATTTTCTCTCTATTCTACCATCCCTATTGGACTTGGCTGATGAAGTAACAGGAAAAGCCTTCCCAGTGGCTGTTCCTAGGCTCTGAAAGTCTCTCACTGTTGCAGGCTGTCTTTTTGCAGGTTGGCAAATTACCTGGTTTAAATAGACTTTAGACATAAATGACCAGAGTAGAAATTGGGTGTGCTATTTTTAGTATGTAATATGTTTCTTATTTTAATTGTTAATGGGCCTCTACAGAGCTTTGCGCCATCTTGGAGGCAGGGAAGGGGAGGGGCAGCCACATGCTGGGTGCCCCAAACCCTTCCAGAGGACATCATCACGGCACGCACCGTTATGCATGGCACACACCGTCAAGACGTCCTCCCTGCGCAGCGTCTTAACATGCTGCACCGGAAGGGACACAGAAGAGCAGCGCGGCAGTTCTTCGGGCTCCCTATTTG